GCGCTACTCAGGACCTCGTTAGGGCATGCACAGACCTGCCTGTCTGCAGCGGGGTGATTCGGTGTCTTCCGCGCTACTCAGGACCTCGTTAGGGCGTGCACAGACCTGCCTGTCTGCAGCGGGCTGATTTGGCCTGTTCTGTGCAACTCAGGACCTCAGTAGGGCATGGGCAGACCTGCCTGTCTGCAGCAGGGTGATTATGCATCTTCCGCGTTACCTGACATTTCGGTTATTGTTAAACTATTAACTTTTCTAAAAAGAGACCATAATATATTTGTTGTGAGCAAAAAGAAACTTTTTACTGAATGTGAGCTTTGTTCACATTTGTCTTTGGAGCAGTGAGTGTTAGGAGCAGACGATGATAGTTGTGAATGCCCAGTGTTGGTTTGGGCAAGTGAGTTACTCATCATGTTAGTCCTTTGTGATTAGCTGAATTTTGACAAACATAGGAATATGGATATATAAAATCAACTTTAGAAAAAGCAGATCACATTTTTTAGATTTTTGGACAGAAAATCTAACCTTCATTGGATAACATTTGATTAGCCTAATATAATTGTGTCTTTTAAATTTTGTAACCTTGAATGAATGCCCTCATTTTTCTTCATAATGATGAGATCTTGCTGCCTTGACTTTAGTGTCTGGAGTAGCCCAGCCTATAGCCCAGTGAGGCAGTGTGATGCTACGTACTTCCTCATCTCGCCCTTCCATCTGTCAGGAATAGCTGTGTCTCATTAAAGGATATACTATACTACAGTTTTACAGAGATTTACCTTATGTTCTGACAGTCACGAACATGTGTGAAAATGTATTCCATGAGAGTTGACACATCCAGAAGAAAGTACTTATATAGTAATAGCCAGTTTCAAACAGAACTGAGATTTTTTACCAATAGGAAAATTGGTGCAAAATTAGTACATTGATGGTTCTAGATCAGAAGCATCCTTGAAATGGGGTTCATCCTTACGAGCTGATCTGTCCCACTGCTACTCAATGAATATCTTAATGTATCTTTCCTGTCCTCTGAAAAGATTAATTCCACTCCATTTATGTCCTCTTAAGTCACCACTGCATTTCTGGGGTCTGTTTTATCGCCTGTATAGGATATAATGTTGCTTTTGTTTCGTTTTCTTTAATGTCTTATGGCTCTTATGACTTCACTTGAGGGTAAATAATACTTTCCAGTGGCTTCTAGAAGGCAGTTCATCTCTCTCAAATTTTGCACTTGTTCTAAAGTGAATTGAGCTAGGCAGATGCCGCATGGACGGGGCTATTTGCTGGTGAAGGGAGGTGAGTGTGAGCTTCCATGGGGCCCAGAACTGGCCCAAGGAGGAGGCACAGTGTGTTGAACATGTCAAAGATAGCAGGTGAGTGTCATCACAGAGCGTCCTGCCTTTCCATGAGAACATTCTCTGTATTTGTGGCCTAGCTCAAGAGTCAGGGCTCTAATGCAGAGCTGGAAACATGCAATCCGACTGCTTTCCTCATGCGGGACTATGACATTCCTTTCAGAGCTGTTCTGCCACATCAGCAGCAGATGTTTGGTGAAGAGCTCCCCGATGCTCGAGATGGAGAGCAGCCTGGCCCTGCCAGAAGAAAGCGCCAGCCCAGTATGTCAGAGACAATGCCGCTGTATACTCTTTGTAAGGAAGACTTAGAGAGTATGGACAAAGAGGTGAGCAAGCGCCGCGCAGGACTCAGGCAGTGGGCAGTGGCACTCCCAGGGAGGCTGCTGTTTGCTGGGCATTGGAGGTGGAACTGAGACAATGTGCTCATGCAGAAGTGTGTGTTCTTGGGAGATAGCAACTGTGTCTTTCCTAGGTTTCCTATTAAAATGGAGCTGTAGTGCATTAAGTGATGTATCCCCGGAGTTTGGCATTAAGAACACTAACCGCTGGGCTTGGGTCCGTGACTGAGCTCTCAGGCAGTTCTGTGCTTTTTTCTCAAGTGCATTGGGTAATATCTGGAGACAGTTACAGTTGGCATGACAAGGTAGGATGCTTCTGGCATCCATTGGGCAGGAGTAAGAGGTGCTGCTCAGCACCTACAGTGTACAGGATGCCTTGCAAGGGAATAGTCCCATGAAAGTCCATGGGGCCCACTTGGAGAAACCCTGGATTTCTGTGTTTTCTGGTGAACATAGATTTTAAACATATGCACACACAAATTATGACTACCAATTTCTTACTCTATCATTTTATAATACTGTATAATTTTAGGCAGTGCAAGTAGAATTAGTTTTTCAAATCTTGTTGGAATAATACTAGAACTCTTCCATATCCACTTGAATTAAGCCTAAGTACAGTGGAGATTTTCCATAGGACTGAAAACTAAACTAAAAATAATTTTATAAGTCAATATTGTTGTCCGTCTCCTGGCTTTTATTTTAAAACAACAGACTCAATATTACATGACTTGATGCTCATGTGCAAAGCTGACTCTGTATGACTCCTGTGTCCCATGGCCCGTATTCCTGTCGTCATTCCTCTGGGTCACTGGTCAGCACTTTGATGGATTTCACACCTTCCAGCAATTTTTCTGGCAAGTAGCCTGTGCAGTGTCATTCTTTGACAAAACGTATTGCCTGCTGGATGTTTTGTGAGGGGTGGTCTGTGCAGTGTTGCTCTTAGGCAGGCTGCTTTGAAAGGACCACTGTAGAAAAATGGGTCTTGGGCCATATCTGTGAGATTCTACCCAGCCCTCTGGTAGACAAAAGCTACTATTAACTCAAGCCTTTGCTCCCTTCAGATGCATCTGCATCTGCAGCTATCCATCTGGCATCATTGCGCCAAGGTCAGGAATATTGTTTTTGTTGGATGTGTAACAGAGAGCATTTAAAAAAGAAAACTGTTTTTGTTTATTTTTAACAATAGCAGAAAAATACACATAGTTATATATTCGGTATAGAATCTCATCAGTAACAGATTTTCCATCATCTTCAGACAATAGTTTGCCTTATAAAGATTAAACCCTTTTTTTTAGGTTTGCTGAATTTCTCTACTTGCCATTTTTCTGCCTTTTTGAATATCAGTTGTTTTTGTTTGACGAAAATATTTTTCTATAAGAATGTTCCTTGACTGCTACTACTTTGCCTCCAAGCCCCAGATAGCTTGATAGGAATAGCACCTGCCTCCTGCTGTGCATGACTAGGAATAGAGCTGATAGACCCTGATCTGCTCCTGCCTGGCCCCCACTGTCATGTCACAGTTTCCTCCCTGGCTTCCTAGTTGAGTCACAGCTTTGAAATTGCTTTCAGAAATAAAAAATAACTTTAAACCTCAGATTTGGCTCCTTAAGATGAAGTGGAATTGAACAGAGAAAGACTCCTGCAGTGGATATGTCATCTACAAGGTAGAGGGGCAGATGGTAATAAGGACCTGGAGGAGACTGCCCCCAAGTGGCACTGTTCCTGAGCTTCCTCATGATGGAAGTGGCAAGAGAAGACAACACAGTGATAGGATGCTGCTGGTTTGGAGATGACAAGGGCCAGAAGCCGAGGACCATGTGACCTCTAGAAGCCAGAAAAGGCAGGAAGGGAGGGTATCCTACCTGAGGGACCCAATCTGCTGACACAACATCTTAATTTTCATCCTATAAGACCCACGCTGGACTTCTGGGGGCCAGAACTGGAAGATTGCACACTTGTGGCAGCCTTGCGAAAGGTCCACACAGCTCCTCCTTGCCACCAATTCCCATCTGGCTTCTGGCTTCAATTATGCTTGTTCCCTTGCAGACTCCCTGTTGAGTCAGACAAGGCAATCCTACCCCAGATAAATCTCCTTTCTCTCTGCTGGACTCTTCCTTTACTGAGTCAGTTGTAGCTCCTGAGACTTATGACCACTTCGGGCACCTAAGAGGAAGGGTCTTTGAGGACTACACTCATAGTAGATAATAAGAGGAAGAAAATTGCTTACTCAGAAGCAGTCTGTGTGTTATGTCCTCGTGGGGACTTGGTACATGAATATAACACATCTCACTTCTTTTTTATCCCCTTCCTTCTCCCATCCTCCATCTCTTTGTCTGGTTCCCATTTGAAAAACTTCTCCTTATTTTCTATGTATATCTTTTATTTTGCTCTTTATTTTTCTTTTAGGTTTCTCATATTTAAAAACCATACAATATTTAAGCTTATATATCCGAATTATTTTATTTAACCTTATGGTCTGAAGATGCAAGGTGTTTTTCTACAAATGACTCATGTTTATCCTTCTTTATGGAAGAGTAGTATTCCATTGTGAATAAATACCACATTTTTATCCATTCATATGTTGGTGAAAATAAAGACTCCTTCAAAGATTTAGCTGTTATGAATTGTGCTGTTTAAACATGGGTATATACATAATTACTATAATGTCTTTAACTTTTTCAGGAAGATACCTAGAAGGAGAACAGGTAGGTTGAATGGAATTTCTAGTGTTTGTATTTTGAGGAATTGCCACACTGATTTCCATTGTAGTTGTGCTAGTTTATATTTCTACCAACAGTGAAAAAGAGTTCTATTTCCCTGTACCCTACCCAGCATTTGATATTATTTGATTTCTTGAAGATAGCCATTTTTTCTGGAGTAAGATGGAATCTCAGTGTTGTTTAAATTTGCATTTTTCTAAAGGCCAGAGATGCGAACTTTTTTTTTTTTTCATTAAATTTATTGGTACATTTTAGGTATACAGTACAGTTACATTCATCATTGGGATCTTGTACCTTTACATGACGTATCTTGATTCTTGTTTTTTCCCCATTCCCCTGCCCTCCCTTCACCTCCTCCACCCTTCCCTATCTACAAAGACTTTGTTTCCATTTTTTTCCTTTTCTCATATTTTTTCTTTTCCCTTCTTTCCTTTCCCCTACCCCTTCCACTTCCCCTACTCCTTTAGACATTTTCTTCCTATTACACTATCAGTTATACATTCTGATCCTTGTTTATACTTTTAGTTTTTCCACACCAGAGAAACTATTCGGTATTTACACATGTATGTCCTGTTTATTTCACTTAAGCGTATGGCCTCAATGTGCATCCACTTAGCTATAAATGTCTCTAGTTTCTCGTTCTTTATGGCTGAGTAGTAATGGTGATGGTGAATCTTAAGCTCCTAGAAAAAGAAGAGCAAGACAAACCCAAAACTCACACAAGGGAAGAAATTATAAAGATCAGAGCAGAAATCAGTGCAATGGAGACTAAGAGAACAATACAAAAAAATCAACAAATCAGAGTTGGTTTTTCAAAAGAATAAATAAAATCTATAAACCCTTAGCCAACCTTATCAAAAAAAGGAAAGAAAAGGCTCAAATCCATGCAATTAGGAACGAAAAAGGTGAAGTCACAACAGATCCAGCAGAAATCCAGAGGATCATCAATACCTACTTCGAGAACCTGTGCTCTAATAAAATGGAAAGCACAGAAGAAATGGACAGATTTCTAGATACATATGTATTACCAAAGTTGAACGAAGAAGATATAAAAATTCTAAACACCCCAGTTACAATCAGTGAAATTGAAAATGTAATTAAAAATTTACCAACAAAGAAAAGCCCAGGTCCTGATGGCTTCACTGCTTAATTCTACAGGACATTTAGAGAAGAAGCATTGCCATTACTCTTTAAACTTTTAAATGAAATTGAAAGGGAAGCAATATTTCCAAATTAATTCCTGGAAGCAAGTGTTACTTTGATTCCAAAACCAGGGAAAGACCTAATCAAAAAAGAGAACTACAAAAACAAAAAAGAGAACTACAGCCCAATCTCCCTAATGAACATAGATGCAAAAATCCTCAATAAAATACTGGCAAACAGAGTACAGAGGGTCATGAAGAAGATCGTGCACCCTGACCAATTCGGATTTATCCCAGGGATACAAGCATGGTTCAACATACATAAATCAATAAATGTAATACACTATATTAAGAGTCAAGGACAAAAACCATATGATCAACTCAATAGATGCAGAAAAAGCATTTGACAAAATTCAACACCCATTCATGATGAAAACCCTGCAGAAAATTGAAATAGATGGTCTTTTATCTCAACTTGATAAAGGCTATGAAAAACCAGCAGCCACCATCATACTAAATGGTCAAAAACCTGAAAACCTTCACGCTAAAATCAGGAATGAGACAAGGTTGTCCACTATCACCACTCCTGTTCAATATAGTTTTGGAAACGTTAGCCACAGCAATTAGACAAGAGAAAGAAAAGCAATAAAGATAGGAAATGAAGTTAAACTCATTATTTGCTGTCAATATGAACTACATAGAAGACCCAAAAAACTCCTCCAAAAGACTTCTAGACTTAATTGACAGATTCAGTAGAGCAGCTGGATACAAGGTCAACACTCAAAAACAATAGCCTTCTTGTACACAAATAACAGACACACTGAGAGAAATTAGGGAAATAACCCCTTTCATAATAGCATCCAAAAAAATGAAGTATCTAGGAATCAATCTAACGAAGGAAGCAGAAGACCTCTACATTGAGAAGTACAACACTCTGAAAAAAGAAATTGAAGAGGATATAAGAAAATGGAAAGACATCCCTTGTTCCTGGGTAGGAAGAACCAATATAGTGAAAATGGCCATACTTCCAAAACTGCCATATAGATTCAGTGCAATCCCGATTGAAATTCCAACAGTATATTTCACAGAACTAGAGAAAACAATCCAAAAATTCATTTGGAATCAG